TGTGCTACCGCAACAATCGCCTTGCTCTATCTGTGGATATTGCAGCTTCGCAGTCAAATAGTGTTCAGCAGGGTGAAATATGCTCTAGTTAAACATATCCAAATTTTGTGCCATTTGGTCAGCTAACAAAAAAGTTATGAACGAAAAAGCGCCAAAGCATTTCACCGAACACTTTTGAGCGCTACTGTATATATTGGATGGGCAGAGGTGGCATAGTAGCAGTGGTCCACACACAAATGGTCGTGGGTTCGGATCCTGAATCGATGCCTAGTCCTAGTCCAACCAAACCCTCCAATCCTTTCAGGTCGATGGTTATCGGGTAATATACTCGTCTTTGAGGATAAAAGCGCTGACTTCAACATCAGGTGGCCACCGCGAGTCGTTGTATAGACCACATACGCATACAACACGTCACTACGATTCTGACTGGTCGAGTCGAAGTCGATTGCGGCGCATCTCAGGACGCCAGGCTGACTAACGCCCCAGGACCAACTTTTATCTGCTTATATACTATATTGACAGAAACTGATGGACAAACTTCGTGGCGTACTAGTCAGCGAATACTTGAGAAAATAGAGCGCAACAAGGGTGTACTCTCCAAGTGTTTGGAAGTCATTGAGAATTTGATGCAGCAGTTCTGTCGATGACCCTCCGTATTGCGTATCTCAAAAAAACAGGGTTGCTACACCGATCATTCCCACGCAAAATCGTTGGGAGTGTTGGTGCAAAATAAGGCATCGGTATCGAAGAAAATGAAATATCTGCAGGAACTGCGAAATATGCTGTCGTTTTTGATCAAATTTGCTCTGAAGCGGAACAAGGAGGTGACCGGAAAGAGTTGTTGAAGGAGATTTAAGTTGATTCTCCCAAATGGAAAACCTCGGAAACCCTTTTCGCGAATTGCGCTTTCACGCTACGAGCATGTAACCCAGGAATCGAGAGGGTTTATCGCCGATACGTAAGACCATACTTCTCCAGAGAGCACTTCTATAATTAGAACACGGTAGAAGATAGTACATGTAACACGCGTGGTTGCCCAGCTATCTGCCTCGATAAGCCGTGGTCCCACCTACGAATGTTTCGGAAAAGACGGTTCCTTCTAGCATTTAGATGTTCCTTTCAGAGCTAATCAAACAATTGTTTAACCCATATTTCTGACCATTGATTCATAACAACAAAAACTTTTAAATCTCACTGGCTGAAGTGTTTATGAGCTACTACAGAGATACATAGATTTGCATTTACTACATGAGGTGAGCTTATGGCACTATCTTAGCCGTGTGAACAGAAAATGCGCCTCTTGAATTTGACCAGCAGCACAACCAAAGAAAAGCTTCGCTGAAAACTTTCTAAAGGTCGCTGTTATTCAGGGAATATTTTTTGAAAGAAACCGTGCCTAAAGTGGGAAAGGTTTAGCAAAATCCTGAATTTCTACGAACATCGTGTTTGAGTGACTTCGAATTGTTTGAGAAGTGCACTCGGGTGAGCGGCTCCTTTGATTCAAGTCACCTTGTCACTATCCGCAGAAATGAGTAGATAAAAAATGGGGCGAAGATGAGGTAGGGTCATTCGGACACTAGCCATGTATGTTCCGGAGATCTAATTAAGAACCAGAATACGTTGACCTAACATCGTCGAATTCACAGAACTATTAAACCTTTTAGCAGCGAGGGCCACTTGAAACCCACCAAACTCTCGAAGATAGCTATTCATGTAAAGATATATTTTTCAAATTGGAGAACAGTGGAAGACCGGAATGATTAGCTCTGTATAAAGACTTACTTTACTTCCCATGCCGACATACTGTGCACCTTGCCCTGGGAATAAACAAACAATTTGGTCTTCCAATGAAATATGTTCAAATGAGATCCTGTTCGAGGCTTTCTTCCTAGTACTATACCTGAAAAACTATTTTATAAACATATTTGCATAAATACTATATACTTAGTACTGCAGTGAACAATAGGCATCACCTATTATTGCCCTTGTTGATGTCGTTAGACAACACTGACTTGTGATTGAAGCAATTCCTCCGAAAATTATTCTAGTTCGTTGCATTACTTCTTTTATCGCAAGCAGCGGTTTGGCTGTTCACCAACATTGGAACGATACCATGCATTCCTTCTTACTCAGATGGGTACACTAGTCCTCCAAAAAATTCTCATGTATCGACTTCTGTCCTACTTATAATATTCGATTTGTGACGACGCTCCCGAACGTCCCCTAATAAGTAGAACTGGACGTCGTGATTTTCGTATTCGAAAGTTGACAACGTTTCAACTGGGAGTTGGAGCGATACAAGGTTCAAAACTGCGAGAATTGCCATCACTAAAAGTGCTGTTATTGATCATTGATTCCCCTTGCATTCTCTCTGGATCGCTTTTTGGCTTCTTTTTTTGGTTGTGTCTTAGGTTGCCTTTTGCGCCTCGATTGGTCGATACAGCGAGTACTTTTGTGCCAAGGTATGGAATCGGAAGAAGGCGCCACCACTACAGGTGCTGTTATTGATTGTTGATTTTTCTCGAATTCTGAGTTCTTGCCGGACATTAGGTGGCTTTCTGGTTTTTTTTTGTTTTGCATTGCTTTTTGTGGCTGAAAGCTTCACTGGGTATTTGCCAATCAGATAGCCACCGCCCTGAATTGAATATTGTTCATTGTTATTGTGGCGTTGTTATTATAGGGAGAAAGATTTTTGCCCCCGGCTTGTATTCAAGGAGTCAGTAAAGGATGGGTATGATCTCATGTGTGTAGACATTGATGTGGCCTATTCCAGGATAAAGTTTGTCTTGATTTATAGAACGCCTTCATGTTCAATTATCATGTTTGAGCAGTTGCTCAAAGCGGCTGGTGACTTGGTAGAAGCCAACGTCCCTTCCTATTACTAGGAGATTATAATCTGCCGGAGATTTCATGGTAAAAGGGCATTAGCCCGAGAGCCAGCGGGGCACATGCGCGCCGCTTCATCGAGATGTGTCAAGGTCTGAACCTACATCAATTAGTTGGGAAGTGCAATCATGGGTCCAGTATTCTAGATCTTCTTGTAAATAATCCTGAGCCTATCACCACTACAGTGGTGCTAGCATCAGCTGGGAGTAGCGATCACTCTTCGGTCTCTTTTGAGCTTAATGTCGAGATTGAACCCAGGGTCAAAATGGCTTACAGAAGAGATTTTATGAGTGCAAATTTCGATATAATCAAGAGATATCTCCAGGTCTCCAGGGCGTTGACAGGTATAGATCTTTGAGTTGCCTAGACACGTAAATAAAAAATATAAAATTATTTTAGACATCCTTCAACATGCTATTGAATTATTCATAACATTAAAGGCTCAAAAGTGCAAGGATGAGCGGCCAACTCAACACATAGGGCGAGCATATCGCAGAGAGAATTCAGCATGGTACAAGGCACTTGCTAGCGGAGACCCGAATCAATGGAAGGCTTACAAAAGGAGAGGGATGCCATCGAGAAAAGAGTAGATAAATTCTATGGTCTAATCAAAAAAAGTTGTTTACTCCACGAACAAAGATGCTAGGTTGCTTGACCTCGGGCTTAAGAGTAGAGGGTTGGTTTATCTTTTCTTTAGCTGCGGGAGAGTAGTTTGCGAAGAAAAGGAAAAAAACCGAGTTGTTTTCAAACGTTCTCGAAGAAGCTTATGAAAAAGCGGTGATCAGTTTTTTCAAGACAGTATCTCTCTGTTCAAGGGTATGCCCGCATTACCGGCCATGTATGACTCTGTCTGATTTCGGAAACAGGAGGTGTAAGAATTGTTATGTAGGTGGCAGAAATCCTGCTCGGATACCCCAGACCATATCCCACTGGAATTTTTGAACAGGTAGCTTCTTCGTTGCGGAGCCGCTGACTTATATCTTTAATTTGAGCCTAGGGAAAGCAGAAGTGCCCAAAAGGTGGACTCGTTCATTTGGCACGCCGATTCCTAGAAAGGCTCTTCATTTTGCCCTATTCTCGACCAGTGGGCATAACCTCGATTTTTGCAAGGCTGGCTTTGAGAAAGTTTTGAAAAGACGGTCTTAGTTTGTTTGGATAAATACGGCATCATCTCGGAGCAACAGCATGGCTTTCAGAAAAGCAAGGACACAGTGATGCCGCAAGCTCTTGATGACAGGACCTCATACCTTGATAGAAGTCTGGGAGTTGACGTTATCTCGACACTGCCAAGGCCTTCGATAGGGTATCCCATGAAAAGCTGGTAGCCAAACTCTTACGAGTAGAAATTCATCCCAGGATTGTAGAGTAGATTACTCCATTCCTCACTGACAGGGCCTATCAGACATATTCGTGTCAACATGCGCAGTGGGGTGCTTCAGGTGTCTTGTCTCCCATTCTTCTTAGTATTTTCACCTATAACCTGCCGCAGCTGCAATGCATAACATCATGCGAAAATTACCTCTTGTAATTGACTCCCTAACTGAAAACAGACTATTAGTCTTGAGACCAGTTTTGCAATGTGAGATTTCAAAAACCAACAAAATGTCGAACTTTCTCCTCCCGAAAGCAAAGGCCTCAAGGCCAAGGTTTACATTACGATCCCTGCTTCTGGGAATATGCACGTATCTGGAGCCAACTGTTCTCAGAAAAACCTTTCTTGTGAAGCAATTCTGAAGCTTTCCCAACGTTTTAATACTCTTAATCTTGTACGGGTTATATACCACGGTGTCATACTCAGGAGTATGTCTTCACTGTCTTCCCTGTACTCACTTCATAAAACTTGAGCATCCTTTGTTTGGAGCGACCGAAACAAATTCGGAGGCAATTTTTGAACATTGCTCATCAAAACTGGGATCACTCCGCATCAGAAACCTTAGGTCTCTGATTTCGTTCAATATACACAGATTTACTCTACCAAATGAATACAAACAATCAAGTCGGACTTTACTCAGGCGAATAACCCTGGTTTTCTCCAGATAAAGGAAACTCCCACTGCCTTACTAACGTCATTAACGGCTTCTTGCAGGAATACCTTGTCTGAATTCGACGAGCTCGAATGATATATGTAATTTGAAATCTCCATCAAAGGCTACAGATGTAATGCATCTAGCTGTGAGCAGAGTGTGAGCTGAATTGTTACAAAGAAAATGTTGCGTAGTTTCTGTTTGCAAATTTTGAAAGAATTTCCTTCACTTCAGAGTGTATCCTAGAGATATAGAATTTGAGTGTCTCTGCGCTTGATTAGCTACTTCTCGGGACTCACTAACTGGGAATCGAAGAGGCTCTATTCCAACTAACAAGCCATCGAACTCCAGCGAGAGTTCTACACGTCATTTACGGGTGACCACTGACCCTTGTGAAGCATGACTGATGAGAGAAAATAAGGTCCCTCTAGAGTCAAGTGCTACTGATTCGATTACGCTGCCTGTAAGAACACGGAAACTCTTGCCATAGCATGCAATGTGGGTGTGACAGGATGGTAGGGGGTTGGCGACAAGTGATGATAACAAATAATATAGGCTGATGGGAGAGCTCGGTTCACAAGAGTCACTGAATCTGTCGCACCAGCCCTTTTTCCATCAGCCTCGATCTTTACACTTGTCATAGTATGTGAAGAACTTGTTAATGCGTAAGTATGTATTTAAGATGCAAGTTAGGAAGGTCGAGTACGACGCAACCAGACTCTAAGACTAAAAGCATCGCCCGCTACACGCGATTTTTGAGAATGAGGGAACAAAATGAACTGTTTCTTGAGGTGCTCAAATTAGTCTCAGGAGCGCGACTAGAGAACTTCATATCGAAACACACGGATTGAGATGAAATGAGCAGGGTGACATATCAATGCCTAAGTTTATCATGTCGATCATGTTAAACATATGATTATCATTTTCGGAAGACTTTTCATTTGCAATGGACTTGAGCGTCACTCGATAGACAGCGATGACATCATATCCACACAAGTTTTCCCGGTGGAAATCGCCTTCGTTCCAGGTTTTATGAGTTTTACCCAAGCAAGGCTGTTTTCCAGTTGGTGAGGAAAGCAGCGAAATTACAGGCCGAGTCTCTTTGAGATACCCCTTTTTAGTCGAAAACCGGAAGTGTAGGGTGGAAGTAGTTTATCGATCTTGAAGAAAGCAAGAGAATTCGTGGATCTCAAGTGAAATATGCCTCCTCAAAGGAAGGCGTAATAGAGGTTGGACGAGGTTACCATGACGGAAATAACATGGGAGGGACTTTCGGACGCGATTTCAGTTGTTGCAATTGCTCAAAGAGCTGACTACGTCAAACAACTCACTATTGGTCGTGACAGGTTGTTTGGTCTCTCTACATTGGATTTCTCGCAGTTGGTGCAGCCTCTACACTCGTCCGAGGATACACATGGTACAATCTTTGGGCCTTTATAACGTCCTACCTAGGTTGTTTCCAGGTATGACTGGCATACACATACGATATAGAGGGTCCTAAAAATTCATTCCAACAGGATATCTTAAAAGCAATCTTTATCGTGAACTGTGCCTTTAAAGGTACAAAGCCTCAGCACTTTATTAACTGCGAACACTTCGCTTCGCTTGAGAGTCTATGAAAAGAATCCGAATCGTGACAACATGGTAGAAAAGTACAACCGGGTCGTCGATTATCTTCACGACACGGCTAGGACAGAAGACATCTCTAAATGACTTGGCTGTCTGGATCGACAAAACAGCATGATGAACAACTTAGCTCTGGAGCTGAGCAGAGGGTAAACGCGCGGCCTTGAAATCTTCAAAAACATCGAAAGACTAGTGAAAGATTTGAAAAATGGAACAAAAAATCAATTCAGCCCCTATTTTTCCGTTACTGCAGCTCTTTTGTCTTGACATAAACCTTTGGGAACTCGGGTTCCGCGCAAGGAGGATGAGCATGCAATCAGCGTCACTCATCTCGCAGTAGGAACTACAATGCTGGGAATTCCTTGATAAAAGCGAATGCGAGGGGGATTGTGTGTGCAAAGCTCCGTCAACGAGCGAATATTACGCAGCCAGACACATCATCGGATTTTGTGATGATCGTTAAATGCACGCTTGACAATGAAAATAGCTTCTGAGATGTCCTGGGACAAATCTGAGGCTCCCTCAAACGGTTCAGATAGGGTGTCAGAGATTGTATCGGCTCGATGCCACACCCATAGCGAACGAGTTTCAAAGGTGTTATAAAGGCTGCAGCATTCATAAGGGAATGTAGACAGTTCAAACAACCTATCGTGACCCATGGCGACAGTGGACGGCAGTCTTGGCAATTTTGGCTCGCTGTAATGAGCTCTTCGCGTAAACGCAACAACTGAAATCTCGTCCGAATACACTTTCCATGCCATTTCCGTCATAGTAGTCTCGTAGTCCCCTAATATTTCGTTTAGAAAGCCTATTTTTCCAAAGTAGGCGAATTTTTTCGCTTCCTTCGCCTCCGATGACCTTCTAACAGAACTTTTGCTTTTTGACTTGATAAAGGCATTTCAAAATTATCGTGAACTGTGCCTTCAAACTAGAACGGCCGCTGACTCATCTGGATGCAGACCACGTGGCCGGGCTTTTCGCGAAAACTCTGAATGAAAGTGATGATATGTATTATGCCCTTGGTGCGAGAAGGGCCCTTGGGACGCAATGGCTGACAGAAGAGAATGGTGTAGTTAATGATGCTTGCTCGAGCGAATCAGTGATCTGCTGTATGACAGATGNGGGACAGAATAGCAGGACAGAGAGAACCCACCCTAATGTCTAGCACTTAATGAGTAGCGACTGCAGTGTAAGAAGGAATATAAGAAATTTTCTTACGCTTGCATGTTGTTGACATTTTCCACTTTTAATTGCTGCTACCAGATTGATCTCAACCATTATAGTCAATGTTCGCAACATACTACCTTTGAGTTTATATACTACTCTTCACCTTGCTTACAATAACTCAGCATTCACATAGAAAATATCGGAATGAACTTATAAACCCAAAATAAAGCGAAAACTGTGCTACGTGTATTAAATTGTTTTATACTCACACTGCTTGATTTCGTTTCTTTAGCATTTCTTTCAACTATCTCTTGACCTTGCTTACAATAACTCAGCATTCACGTAGAAAATATTGAAATGAACTTATAAACCCAAAAATAAAGCGAAAAATGTGGTAAATGTATTAAATTGTTTTGTACTCACATTGCTTGATTTCGTTTCTTCAGCAATTCACTTGATGTCTTTTCCACATGATCTTCCACAAACTGAAAAAAGCCTCAACTGCTCTTAATGTCAATCGGTTAGGTGATCCATGACCACTTCAGAGTTTTGTTACCTTCAAATTTTCTTGTCGCGAATCAAGACATCTTGTGTGGCTTGCAGAGAGAGTATGCAAACACGCGCATGAGAACAACGCGCTGGTGCAATGACTAAGCTCGAATACTTATATGCGCAGATATGAGTTTGAAGAGAGAATACGTAAGTTGCCTTTTATACTTCAGGATTAGAAAGTAAAATGAATATTAATCATTGAAAATCGCTCCATCGTTTTTCAGAACATTCCCCATTAAGATCTTTACACTTTTGCATGCGTTTGAACCAATTGTCGAAGCACTTTTGCCACTCCGATTGAGGTATCTCCAAAACATGCATTCTGAACGCATCAACCGCTTTTTCAGGTGTGAAAAACATTGACCACCCATTTTCTTCTTTATACGAGAATAACGAGAATAAAAAAAGTTATTCGTTGCCAAGTTAGGGCAATACGGCTCATCAAATCGATGTTGCAAAATGCAGTTGTTTGAGCCGATGTGTGAGAGCTCGCATTGTTGTGGTGTGGGATCCAACGCGAACAAATTTTCTTACAGTCAAATATTCATGCAATATTGAATGTGTGCTGGTCAAATTAATGCCTGAAGTTGTCTCAATCTCACGATAGGTCACGTGACGATTTTGCAAATTTAATTTGCGCACATCATCAATGGCTTACTTTACACCATCAACAACTTATTTTGGACGACCTCCACGAAATTCGTCTTGTAGTGATTTACGACCTTGGTTGAGTTCACCATGCCATCGATAAACACTGGTCCTTGATGGAGCTTCATTGCCAAAAATTGCACGACAATTGCATTGCCAAAAAATAACCGCATGGAAATGTTCACGATTTAATTCCATTTTTTTNGCCTAAATAAATTTTTAAGTTAGTGTAAATAACACAAATAGCGCTCGCATGTCAAAACATTCTGAGTACGTATGACCACAAAAATGTCAAACTTTACGATAGAGCTGACAGTTGCCAGATTGCAACACTAGGGTTGCCCAATCCCGAAATATAGAAGGCAACCCTCGTATCAGGGACCCCGCCGTACGTTATGCAATCCCAGATCGGTAATGCCGGACACGGCTTTGGACAGTAAAAGGGCCGAGCTGGCCCGATTGTGATTGCTTAACCACGGCTTCTAGTAGAGGTGGTATGCTTCAAGTCTTTCAAGCTAGGAGAGCCTTCTGAACTAGAATGGCTCACAAGAGTGACGAATACAGCCACTACAGGCGTCCGTTTGAGCAAATTAAGAAGCAGCGTGACAATAAGTGTTGGCGTAATGTTACACAATTCAGTTCAATAGGAAAAAAGCAATAACAACTTTGTCTATCGCTGGAAGAGTCCTTATAGAGCTAAATCACCCTTTTCTAACGACGGTCTTGCCGAAGGCTAAGCAGAAATGCTTTCCCAATCACAGAAATCGATTTCTCCTCACTGTCCTAACAAAGTGTGAATAAAAAGTAATCTTCGCAAAAAAACTAAGAAACAAATAACTTTTTTGGGATACGGCAGCTTCAGTGTCGGATCCAACACGACGGAATGGACGTCAGCGAACGTCACTCCTTCATCCAAAATGCCACGTCCTTTAGGCGATGCTGCTGGGCTTGCTGCTCGCTTGCGCAGGTATCGACACAGCTTCAGTATTGGTACGCGAGCGCGACGCATCTGATAATAACACATCAAAATTTTGTGTAAACGAATGTTAAGGTAAAGGACAGTTAGAGATAGCTACGGTATTTGTACCCACACAACAACTCATATTTCCAAACACTGTTGGCGGTCGGAGGAACTCATTTATTAGCGAACGTCACAATGCAACACCGAACAACTTCATATTAATAAGCAATCCTCAGTTAGGAGTAGTGGTTACACCACAGTTTGCAAAAGGGCTACAAAACTTGGCTGCTGTAACGACTAGAAGATACACTGTTAAGCAATTTAGTGGTTACATGTCAGCCCTTCAGAGCTTGACGAACAGGTGGGACCAGAATAAGACAGGCATCCTATCCAGAAAAGACCACCACTATTACGTAAGTATAGTTACGAAAAACACTAGAACAAGTAGTTGCTTTCGGAAATTAGCAGGAACTGTGACACTCTTGCAAAGATACTCTGCGTTTAATTGGCTGTTCCGAACTAAGAACCAAGACAAAGTTCGAATCTACAAAAAAAAAAATTCAAATGTAACAGGATCATCAAACCCTACTGACGGAGATTATTTAAGTTTTGAGGGAGGATACAAAGCTTTTTCATGCTAAATTAAACCTGGATATGTCTCAGAATATTTGAAGGAATACTCAATTTTATACTATTCAAAAGTGCCCGCGTGTGAACTAGCTACCATTTCATATTACTGTCGAAACGGTAAAATTGAGAGTATAATAAGCCGGTCGTAGAAATGGCGTCATCCACTCCGACGGTCTTCATCGGGAATTTGCATACTAGCACCGGTGTGAAGATGAAAAGTACTTGATCTCGCATCCATGACGCTATTGGACTAAAAATGAGTTTTGAGAAAAAAATGGGAGGTGAAAGCAAGGAAAAAGTACTAATAAGAAAGTAAAACGAAAGATTGAGCTATATGAGGTTTCAATATGCCTTCGCACCCTAACAATCTCAATTTGAATGAGAATACTACTTATATCTGCGCCACTAAATGCGAAGACATCGATGTGTTAATCAAAATCCATACCCTTCCAAATTCTATTGACATACATATGTCTAGCCCCCAATTTGTGGTCCATCATCCCACATTACGTTTCATGGGTGACGCTGACTTGTCAGCTTGAATGTGAGTCCTTCATATGTGCGTTCTCATCCACTAAGATTCAAACAGCCTTTACCGCTTGAGGGCAGCAGCTGCTACAAATAGTCAGGGTGTGCAATAAACGTGTCGAGTCATTCGTTTTGCTCGAGTCATCCATCCAAGTTTCGCTAGTCTCGCCGTCACGTCTACGAGGGTGTAGGACGTTAGACACGACTGACATTACTTCGCGTCGAGGTGCGAAGTAACCCCAATCGCAACTAGCCTTAACTTAATTACGGACCTCTAATTGATCGTAACTGACCTCATCTTACTTATGAGAGCGATGGCGAATGATAGGAATGATGAGAAATGAAACTCCAAGAAAATTAGTTTTTCAAAGTAAAATTTCCATGGTCTTTGGTTTAAAAAGTTTCACATCTTACACGAATTTCAGTTCCATGACTATCGAAATCTTCTATTCTATGTGGTAATAAAACTCTTTAAGTCAAAGACCATGAGAATTTTACGTTGAAAAATAATTTTCTTGAAGTTTCGTTTTCTCATAATTCTCATCATTCGCCACCACTCTATGTAAGATGAGTAGTTACGATCAAATGGAGGCGCGTAATTAAGATGAGGTTAGTTACGATTAAGGTCACTTTGCACCTTGACGCGAAGTAATGTCAGTCGTGCTAACGTCGCACACCCCGTCTACGAGAAAGCTGTCACTGGTTGCTTTCATAGTCCGCCGACCGGCTGGCATGCCAGCTGAGGCAGTGCTAGGGGGAGGAGGGAGGCAGACCATCGGTCGACGCTCGTAGTCGTCGTGGATATCACCATAGCCACCAGACCACTCACCACCCATCGTCGTGGCTGCTCGAGTCCACTCGAGCTGACTCTGATATACATATGTACATACTTAATGGATGTGAGGAGCTGACAAATATAACGCTGCATCAACAACCACCTCAATCACGAGTATGGAGAGGTGCACACTGTATCGCATTAAACGAAACAATCTCCGAAGAAATTTGTATCAAATTTGAAATGATTTGTCTTTGCAGCTGAAGATTTCATGGCCGCAGCACACAACTCAAAAAAATATCTAGAAAAAAAATGCGAGAATAGTAAAGTGCACCAGGCAGAATGCTGACCTCGCTCTGGTCAACCGGACTGCCTTTTTTGGCATGATGGTGTCTCGCGAAAAATGGTGCATTTCTTTTGATTCATTTTTCTTTAGGGAGGATAAAATTGAAGTTTTCAACACACATCAGACAGCGTCCTCAACCTATTAAGCCTCATAGAGGACCTAGTCTGTGAGCATGACTCCAAAGAACTGACTGCTCCTCCTAGAAGTCTTATCTCCACTAGGAAGCGAGGAGAGGCGTCTACATACATAGTTGGGGCCTTGCATTTCTTTGATCTTTAACGAAGTCGTTACGATATGTTTAACCGGCTCAGATCTCGCGCGACTTCAAGGTTTTACACTGCTGATTTTTTTGAATGATGATTTGCGCTTTCTCGAAGCCTGACAGAAGGTGTTCTCTCGACAAATCTTTGAAAAACGTAATTTCGAATCATAAAGTAGTTTCGTGAAAGAAGAGCGACACGTAACAACTGAAAATGGAAACTAGGTATGGTATGCGAAGTTAGCTAGAGTGAAGAGAAAGGGCATTCTAATCCAAATTCAATTCAACGCTTTATTACGTCGAGTCTTTTATAATTGACACATTTTTGCAATATTATTGTAATACTTTTGCATTCAAGGATTTTGTCCTGCGATTTCTCAAGGACTTTTTAGGGGAAATACTACATAATTATGCGTCGCACTGTACAAACTCTTCATCGACATCCATCGGAAATTTCGTGACTTCTAGGGAATCTCAGATATATTCTGAAGAGTAGTTTGATCAATCAGGAGAAAGATTCAACGTTGCAGTGATTTTGGAAGTAATCTGGCCTCTGTAGCAGTGTTTTGCTGGAGCGGTATGTCAGAGACGTGTTAACCGCCAACAAGTTCTTCGCTTCCTTCAATCCCGTTGTTCACAGACCAGCTACAATTTTCCCATTAGGAACTCCATTACTCGAATATTTAATGCAAGATGTATAGATGGCTTATTTTACAAATAGCTAAGCTGAAGACCCCCTACTTTCCTTGTCCTGAATTTCTAAAAGAACTCCGCATTTCACGTCTCATCTGAAACACGACACACTGTACTTGTCAGTAGGCAAAGTGCCCACCCTATAAGTGAGATCCAGACGACATTGGCAACTACAGCCCACTCTCCTTGGTGATTGTAATCTATAAACTTTCCACATGATTCATCCTTAAGTGGACTGAATACAATTAGGTTGTAACATAAGTTCGTAGAGTTTTTTCACAAAGATTTCTTTGAACCAAAAAACAATAATTATAATAATAAGTTAACAAATGATGTATCTTCCGTTACTGTTCACGACCTCCTCCCATCTCTCGACCAATTTGTTGATGGCGATTCGCCGAAAATCGGCCGTTTTGGTGTCGCAGAATTTGTTGAGCCGGCTTTTACGGTCCCCTTCGCCATCGAAGGTAACTCCCCTTATTGGGTATAACATAGAGCGGACAAGGTGATAGTCGGCAGGTGCAAGATCCGGAGAGTGCGGTGGATGCTGAAGAACCTCTCATTCAAGCTCTTGGAGTGCTGTTTTGTCGACTTGAGCAATATGGGGCCTGGTGTGTCGTCAAGCAAGATGACTTGACCTCATTTATAAGGTCTTTTCAGCCGAATAGCCTCATTTGCATTGTTCAGCTAAGCAATGTAGACCTCCTTGTTGACAGTGGCGTTTCGTTCGAGCAGTTTCCCAGTGCACCATGCCTACCCAGTCTCACCAAACGCAGATCATAACCTTTTTTTGGATGAAGATCTTGCTTGACTCTCGGCTTTGGCGCCTTTCCTGGGGCCACCCACACCTTTCAGTANAGACACACCTAAGACACCTTCCCCGTACACACTGCATATGTCCGGAACGGTTTCGGCTGCTTTTTTGACCTCGACGAGAAGCAAAGGAAAGCAGATGTCAAAAATGCTAGTTTTTTCTTCCTGGATATTCAATTTCTGAGCCCGAAAAAAGACGAACAATTTAATTGTCCTAGAAACGAATAAAACAGTTTTGTAGAGGAGAAAAAGCTCTTTTAAATGGATATATACACTTCGCTGAAAAACAAAATAAGTCGTTGTAAAGTAACTCTAACGCAAAACTCTACGAACTTATGTTACAACCCAATAGTTGAGGTCTTCGATACCGTCGATACAGTCCATAGCTGGAGCAATGGGCAGCCGGAGTGCACTTACAATTAGTCAACTTATAGGAATGCCCTGTGAGCTCTACAACAACAACAAGCTCTACAGGATTTCACCGTCCTTCAACTTTAAAAAAGTCATAGTCACCGTGACGGGAGCGTCCGGCAGTGCGATATGATCTCGCCCAAACTTTTCAGTGCCGCACTCGAAACGTCATGCCTCCTTCGGAGGGAATGAAGACTCGGGAGTGACGGTCGACGGCTGCTAGTTATACCATCTCTCATTTGCAAACGGCACCATGCTTTAACACAAACATCGATCAGGCGGAACGATTGGTGGCCGTGCTTGACAGCTTATACAGAAACATCGCTACAGAACCGAAATTAACGGGGACGATGTTCAAGAGAACTTTAAATGGCTAGGTGGTGCACCTCTACAAGGCTAAACGGAACGAATATCTTTGAATGCTACAACTATTCGTATTTATTTTTCATGTGTATTTTCGAAGCTCTTGATAATACACTTTATTGGTTTGCTTTCGAAATATAACACCTTCTTCAGACCTTAACTGTACAATACATAGTTGCAAACAATCAGCCAATAATCAGTTACCACAGAGAACACATCGGATGCTATCAAACCAACTGGGAATATTGGGGAAGAGAGGAGTGGACTTATTGGTGGGGAGCTTGAGAGATAAACGGGACACCGCTCTTCTACTGAGGCGATGGAGTGTTATCATTCAATCAGTCTCAGAAGGTCACGCATCTCCTCCTTTGCGCTTATTTTTGGCTTGATACGGTATAGTTCCCGTGCTTCCATGATCTTTCTTTCCAGTGGCCGAACCAAATATCTATGCAAAACCCTCACATCGAAAGATGGAGCGTTCTCCTTCTCATGCTTGTGTGTACGGTGCCTGGAAAAACTCTNGTGTGGATAGATAGCGGGATCAGCCAACGCTCTTCTATGTTCGTCCAGGTGGATCTTTAAGGGTCTCACGGTCTCCCCCACGTACTTCTCTCCACATCCTCCGCATTGAATCAAATAGACGTTGCCTTGGATCTCACAGATCTCTTCAGATGTACGGTAGCGACAAGACTGCTTGCGGTACCGCTTTCGTAGATTTGAGAAGATGTCAGGAGATCCTTCAATATAGGGGGAAGTGGAAAAACAAGTCAAATAAGAAGCTGGGGGTTCTATACGACTTGGTTGTCATTAACAAAAGGCAGAATGAGGGTCAAACCTTCAGCCGTTCTGTATGGGACCCAGGTCCTCGTGTTGCTTTCGAAGTATTCATTACTTTTAGGATATGACATTACATGCCGATAGCTAACAAGTAAAGTGGAGTATCAAGAGCTTCGAAAATACACATGAAAGACAAGTTTGAATGAAGCTCAGAGATAGCAGCATTTTGAAATATTCGTATCTAGGTTGATAAGTCAACATGATGAACGATTCAGGGCCGAAAGGCGGGCGAGGGCAGCATACAAGAGCATGGAGGGAATAGTGAAGAAAACAAAGAACACCTGATGCTACGGTCGCCTTTTTCACCACTGCTGCCCTCCTTGCTTTGACTTAAGCTCCTCCAAGATTCTATGAAAGCAGGATGATTACGCAAGCACCGCTATCCGACCGCTGTGGAAACGATGATGCTGGAAACTTTCCTATACACGAATGTACAAAGAAAATTCGATTTTTTGAGCACAGGTAACAACGGAGTTTGGAGACGCTATTGGTAACGCTTAAAAATTTAAGAGTGTGGACCGGACAAATTTCTCCACAAAAGAATTTCAGCGAGAGAAGGCTATGCTACTCGAACGAGGATCATCTACTCTAGCTCGGACCATGCCAAATGAGACGTCAGTTGCACCCGCTCGAGAAAATTCATGATTAACGGGATGATAGGTAATGCAGGTGGTGTTTTATCCAACGGAGTACCTTTCTCTTATATCAGTCTTTCAGAAAGTTGAAAGCACTGAATCATAGGTAGCAAATGGTGAAATATTTACGCCTAAGAAAGCACCCTTCTCGAAGCGCCTACTGTTTCATAAGGATTATCTTCGTTGTCATGAAAATAGCTCAGGTTATTAATTCGGTAAGTCTGCCCACATCTCCTATGTCCAAAAGAAGAAAAAGGGCATGGAAGTGGATTGTGTCACGAACAAGACAAGGGTTATTATTGCTCCATCACGGTCAACAGGAAAAGCCGAAGACTTGAAGGCACGGTTCACGATAAAGATGGTTACTGACTTTACCCTTAAATATACTCAGTGGCCCCCATGGGTGGCGGAAGGGTCCCTCTCGCTTTCACAATCTCGACGGTCAGGGCATAGTGGAAGACATGTTGCTGTCTTGATTCGCTTACCCGCCTCTCGATCGATGTCACGTTAGACGAGTGTCGAGGCAATACAGATTGTTATTATTCGTTCTAGGACCCACACAATCAGCTGATCGCCGAGTGATGAAGCGATGTTTTTCTCCCTTTCTTTTTCCCTCCGTTATTCTTTTTGCTGCCGCGATCCCTTTTTAACTTCCTACCCCAAAAGGCCGAAGAAGGTGAGCCACTTTCGCTATAACTAGGTTTTTTGCTTACTTATGCTCGTAAGCGAATGAATTTTTGCTTACCGTAGTCAGATATTTGCACCAGAACCCACACGTACGCAATGACGCGCTGTGCGTATCTCGTTCGAACGCCCCACTCTTCTTCATACTTCTGGTCTTATACTCATCCAGCCCTCTTTTTAACGATTTCTCGAAGCCTTTTTTCACTTCAGAAACACCGATTCACGCAGTCCTTCGCCTTCATCTCACTCTTTTCCATCTTCCATTTTTCGTCATAATCTGGGTTACCCAAAATTATCGTGAACTGTGCTTTTAAGCGTTTACACAAAGCACGCTTTATCAGATAGTGGAAGACAAGAGCTTTTGAGTGATGAGAAATCAATTGAGATGAACAAGGATTTCACGAAGAATATGTATGACTACCGCTGAAACTGCATGATTTGTGATGAAGAAGAAATACTTGAATGATCAAAACCGCTAACATGGGCATTGCAGAGTTCCTTCCAGTTCCCCTCACCTGAGCAACTGGGGGGGGGGGGGGGGGGGGGGGTACAGTTTCCCTCCTATATATAGCGGCGGTACCGTTGGCGAAAGAAACCGGCACGATCGACGCCGGAGCACAAGAGCGGAAATGTGAACCGTTCCCAAACTTATGACAGTGACAGATTCGACGAAATTCGTCACGTATGCTCGTATGGAACGGGAGCACACGCCCTGCGTCATCAGGCAGATTACCTTAGGTCGCATTTCGTCGAGGCATGTATTGAAGAAGTGTTACGTGTGTAAACCTGATAGACCCCACATCATCATAACGTATCTGAACTGCATGAGAGCTGATTAACATAATAAGCCGAGTAAGGTATTGTTACTACCTCGGTTTGCACAGCTCAGGAAGTAAACCTCATAACTGGAAAGAAACATCCTGAGGTTCACAGACAGTCGCACTTGACATTCATTCCATAGCGTAACCACTCTTAGAGTGGATGACCCTTGTGTGATGGTGTATATGGCTTGTCAGGCCGAAATCAATAGCGTTGACTTCAAAATATTGCTATTAATGGGCACATCTCAAACTCTGCTCAGACTGAACAGACTGATGGCTCCAACTTCAAATCACCTTTCTGCTCACAGCCAATTTGCACACCAGGCCAAGATTGTTCAACGTCGGAACTCGAGTGCTCCGGTCCTGAGCCTGCGGAGATGCTCATCGTGTGAAAGCGTTGCGACCACTTTGCGAATGAAACAACGATAAGTAAACTTCCAATTTTATCAACTGGAAATCATGCATTTTGAAGGCCCCAATATGAAATCTGCTCTAGAAGTTGTATTAGCGGCTCTCAAAGTCGAAAATGATAAGGTCTTCTAAGGCAAGTCAAAAGGTATACAACACCGTGATCCCTAACTGACTCACTTGTACATATCGAGAAAGGAAACCCGGTTTTTTCTTGACCCCATATTTTTTTTTTGACGAGAACCTGAAGCAGTTTTCGGCGACTGACTCTACCGACCGCATTCGACAAGTCAACATAAGCAATATCGACAGTTTCACCACAACCCAACGCTAGTCACCAATCAAGTGAGCAGTCAAACAGACTGGGGGTAGTTATGACTACGTGAAGAAAGTCTCGTTGCTCAAATGTGATAACACTCCGGTGGAGAGATTGATAAGGGTTAAGATGGGTAAAATGGAAAGGTTGATAAAAGAGTTGTTCGTATGGGAACATCACCTCTAGAGCTTCTCTCGTATCTATCAATCTTTCCATTACCTTAGCTGTAGTTGGGGTAGTACATATCGGTTAAAACCAAGAAACTACACGAAACTTTGGGGATAGACGTTCACTGCTTTCCAAGTCTGAGGAACCTTGCTCAACATGAAAGGAACATTGAAGATGTGTTCCAAAGGCTTAGATAGCTTAGCTATAGGTGCTTTCTTGGGAACAATGTAAGAAAACTCTGCTCAGGGCTTGAAAGTCTACTAAGCCAAACATCAAAGCAACTGATTTGCCTCTCAAAAAAATCTTGCACCTGGAACGATGCCTTTTAATATTCCATTAAAGGCGCCCCAAGACCCTTCAATGAGATTTTCCAAGCAGGCCAGCAATCTATTTTGGCAAAAAAACTCCAAAATTCTTTCGATCAATGATTGCCAGTAGATATATGAAAGCAGAGAGAGATATATGTGAGATAACCACCATTGGTTACAAATAAAAAATGGGAGAAAATGAAAGAGAATATGAACTCTTCTCTCTGTCTATCTCCTATTGTTTACTGGAATTGCATAGCACGTCATACATATGCTAGCAAGGGCTACGACTCACGTGAGCTTTTCACGCGTGGCTTTTCGAATAGTGTTTCTCATCTACTGAATTGGGTGGTGGTGCTAGCGTTCCACTTGTCCAACGATTTCGTGATAAGTTCTACTTCCATCCTTCGGATATTTGCACGTTACATAGACGTCTGAAGCCTTGCGCTCCTCTCATTCAGTCATTCGGGTTGACCTATATTTGACTGTTTTCGTTCCACATTTGAGTTCCACAAGCCTGAGAAGGTCAGCATATTCTAACCGAATATCTGGATTTAGGTCTCACGCTTTGAATTCGCATTAAGATCAAAGAGACGACTATTTAGACCCGCCCGGGAACGACTGCTTCGGTTGCATCGACATAGCACTCTACTATGTGTATAACGTATTAAATGGTTTCGTTGACAGGTAGGTCACTTGATGTAGCTTGATCAATTCTCAGATATTTGTGAGTGACTGATGGTTTCTTCTATGCCATTTCTGCATGAAGTTCTGGTTTCCACTTGTTGACTACTCGTGGCTGCCTTCAAGTTAGGAGGATACTGTCTCCTGATCGTTGTCTCTTGGCAGTAGCTTGTTTGTTTCCACTTCATATAATTAATCATCTGAATTGTTATTTCTTCCCTGGTTTTACTTTGTTCTGGTCTGCTAGGCGTACCAGGTGCTGTCCAAATGAAGAAATGAATAAAGAATTAGATAACAAATGAACTCAATCCATTACATTCAGAGTCTCCAAGCATGATTTGCATGCGCTGTATGGGGCAGTGTATGTGATTGCCAGAAGGAAAGCGGTCACTACTGGTGAGAATGCACTTGCTAAAACTAACTTGTGCGCATGGAAATGATACATCTTCCCAAGCTTCTTGTCAAGAATGAATGATGGGGCTGTTCGCACCTCCAACATGTCTGTCTCCATGCGCGCCTTAACGAGACACATGAAATCAAACAAACATAAGTTTATCCAGACCATATGTAATCTGACAACAAATACTCGTACTTGATTCACGAGATTACAAGCCATTCGCCCAGCCAAACGTGACGAAGCTGCGAGGCCGGCGGCAAGGTTCGACCAGTCATTCCCTGAACTGACCTAAAAAGCATGAAATGGTAACATTTTCTGTCTTCTCTGTGATTTTGTGCACTGACCACCATCTGATAAGTGAGGCATTGGAAGTGGATCCTTTGGAGGCGATATCCATAATTCTTCGAATTAGGATTCATTCTATCACGACCGAATGTACGAAGTAGCCAGTCAAGCATTTCTACTACCTGAATTGACCTTCTTTACAGACGGATCAACTGGAGAAATAGACTTGACAAAAATGAAGCAGAATTTAAGGTCAAAGTGAAGCTAAGAAGGGCCAATATAGAGCTGATCAGTAACTCGGTAGGTTTTGCACTTTGGCTTGGTAGAAGGCTGGAAGGAAGCCTTAGCGCCATTTGAGCGAAAGCGCTAACACAGCTTATATCATAACGTAGGAATACACTTCGCATTAGTGATTTCGAATAATCGATATTGATTCAGTTCCATTTTTGGCGAATGGAATGAGTGCTCGTTACTAAGCTCTCCACTGCAGTAGAGCAACTGTAGATTTGTAAGGGAAACAGGATGATGTGAGCTCAGAACTGACACGTCAATGAACTCTGTAATGGAACACTCTAACACGAACTGAGGTAAGGAAAATTATTGTATGATATCGTGTAGCCATACATTCAAGGGGGTATTAGGTTATTCTGCTGACTATATGAGCCCACGGTGAGCAAATTTTCCGTGACTGTGAGTAACCCTGACGATTGGTAAGACCTAATTAAACACCTATACTCTTAAACCGAAGGACACAGACGGTACCTTAAAGATCGCTCTGTAGTTGGAGTTCATGAGTAACGAAGCTAGTCCTATAATTTACCGACAACCAAGAACCGAGTGGAATTCAGAGGACTAAATGTTTTTTGATGAGGGTTCTACTGAGTAGCGATAAACTGATGAATTATTTCTGGTACCAGTCGGATCGCCCGGCTTGCTTTGAGCCCTCCTCCTTTCCGTAACTAAGTTGGAACGGGCGGTCGATTTCCTTTACTGTCAGTGGTTATTCTTACAAAAACTCCACCTGTTTCCTCTCATCTCTACGATGAACATACATTCAAAATCTGCTGCTCTTCTTTATTGGGACTATGGGCACCTCGACTTTTTAAAAACCAAGCATCCTGCTTAGTCAACTCTAGCCTTCAATAATACCTCTTAATGTTGTCGAACAGTTATATGATAACAACAACATTTCTTGTTCTTCGTCTTTGTCTTCTTCTTCTCCCTAGCGTTAATCTTGCTTAACCTCAGGCTTCTTTTCCCTAGTTCTTCTTGTGAGTTGTCGACATTACTTTCTATCTAAAACAATTTCTGTCGTTTCTTGGTTCCGAAGTCCTTCTTGATCACGTTTCTCCATCTCTCATCGCTTTCCTTCCGCTTCGAACTTCCCTTACTTATAGCATGATTCTGTGGTCTTGATACCCGAACCATCGCAGACGCTGCTCTTTCATCTTCAGCTGTACAGGGGGCTATTTGCATGGCCGTCCTGGTGTCCTCGTTCCTGACTTATCTAGTCCAGGTACAGACCCACCCCTTTCAGCGGAGTGAACCTCCAGGCCACGCACTGATTATTTCCATTGCATCCGTGCCGACCATATTCGGGATTTTTATAGCCTGGTCCACGATGCCAGGTCTCTCCACTGGTAATGGAAGCCCCGTAAACTTCCGATGGCTTCACCGAGACCGTCTACGATTGGCTGCTTTCCTCGGTGATGAGGAACTTGATCTTCTTCACGATCAGTCGAGGCCCATTCTTCGCCGGCATTTTCTGTCTTCTGAGCAACTTGTCCTAAACTCCTCTACTCTCCGTTATTAGAATGATGTCATCAGCGCAGAAGATGGTCCTGGGGGTCTATTCAGGAGTTCTTTTGTGCGGCACATGACATCCATTGCAAACAGGAAGAGAAAGGGGCTCCAAGATGGCCCTTGATGTTGCGACTGCCTCAAACATCTATTGTGTTAGTTGGGCCATGTGGAGTGCGTATAGTTGTTCTGGACCGATCGCACATATTTTTGACCAGAAAGATCAGGCAGGTGTTCCAGACATTCCGTTGCAAAGCGCTCTTCAAAGCACTGATCGCAGAATGAGACAAAGAAGAAACACAAAACACAGATGTATCAAAATATACATATTTCATGCTCTCTTGGAGTGGTGCTATCCCTAGCGCTATCCGCCTACTGAGTTTCATCCGCCGGATCTTGAGCGTAACTACTTTCCTATTGATTTGAAAAAAAATCCTGACCAACCGATGTAAGGTTGACTCGATTATGTCATTGATGTTTTACTTCACTTCACTGTATTGCTATAGCGCACCGCTGCATGCATCAAAAATAAACAAATAAATAAATAAATAAGTAAATAAATAAATGCAAACAAACATACTTCATGTGGATTGGTGGTCATGTTGAAAACCCCTCAGGGTGACCTTATTCGTATGTTATTGCTACCATATAAACCATAGCTCGGCATACAGGCAGTAGAAGGAGAGGTAGAGTAGGGGACCCAACTCTGCTTCGCCTTCGCCTCCGGCTGTATTTGCATCTTATCTTACAATAAATCTTCATATCCAGTTATCTAGATTAGTCTAAGTGTTCAACGACAAGACTACCGCGACAACAGAGGATACGACAGTGACGATAAGGATAATCAGAGAACCACGCTTAATATGCGACTATATCCCACTACACGGCTATCCTTGTATGTGTTTCTAGTCATCCCAAAGCAGCACTTGAGGGGGATAAGCCTCACTTATTAGGAAGAAGACTTTTGCCTGTTCGATTTTTTATTGAATTTCTGTTCTTTCCTTGTTTGCTGTTGATGGTGGAATATGGATACAACCACTATCCTTTGTCTAATGTCAATGTTTAAACAACTCATGGAGGAGCAAAAGAGTGCTATTATATATCATCTATGAAGTTGACAATCATGAAGGAGCAAAAGGACCTTATAACAAGAATCATCGATCGCGTCCCAGAGCGTGATTAATGAGTCCGCAAAGCGTAAGAGCCAGCAGCACTTACTAATGAGATGGTCTCGAGAAGTCCACTCCAACTTTCGAGAACTCTGTCATGAACTTTTCGAAATGGTTCTCACGACACAAGGAGGGGTTTTCCGAAGGCGAGAAACAGGTTTCGGAGAGTAACAAGGTTAGGCTAGTATGCGAGAGATTGGATTCAGTGACATTCGACGAGTGCCAGAGGTTGCCCACAGCAAATCACAACAAATGACCGGAAATTATGGGAATGACAAGCACTTCTGCAAGTGAAATGGTGAAGGTACAAAAGATGTTTACATGGTATGGAGTCCCGCACACCATTGTCAGTCAAAATGAAACCCAATTTACGTCCGTCGGAGCAATTCAAGATGATGCGCGAGGAAGGAGGAATGATGCACGTGAAAACTGCTTTCTACCACATGCAATCAAATGGGCAATCCGAACGTTTCTTTGACATACTAAAACAAGGTATCAAGACACTTGAGGGAGAGGAGAAGCCGTCGGAAGAGACGCTGAACGAGATCCTTCAAGCATACCGGATAACTCCTAACAATTGTTTGAACAGCACGACGCCAGCGGAAGTGTTTTTAAGAAAAAAAACTCCGCTTACGGTCAATACTACTATGTCTGATGAAAGAATCACTCACGCCACCGCATGAAGAAAATTGGAAGGAAATGATTGAGCAGAAGAAACAATGCTGTTCCGAAAAAATTTTTAGACGGCGAAGCAGTTAATGCTTAGGTATGTAAAGCGCCACAATGCATTTGGAAAGAAGTTATCATTACTACACGAATCGGCCAAGTCAACTATGAAGTTGAGCTGAGTGGAGGGATAACGGGGAAATACGCAAATTAGTTAAGTCGTGATACGAAAGCACCTCTGTGTTACAGAGACAAGCCGTTGCTGATATTGCTAGAGATGCACCAAATCAACAATGTATGGAAGCGACGAGAGTAACCACCCACGCACAGATGCTGCTGCTCTAGGACGACGAGGCCAATGCCACTACGACGCTCGAAGAGGATAAGAAGACCGGTGCAGAGATACCCATATACTTTCCCATAGCTCAATTTTCTGAACTTATGAGTTATATTATTACCAGTCGGATCGCCCAGCTAACGCCGGGCTCTCCTCCTTCTTATGTAGTGCCCGGCTACGCCGGGCATCCCCCTTTTTATGTAATTGGGACATAGATTGATACAAACAAACTGTCATTTCCTTCCGAACAATACAAAATGAAACTATTCCATTCTAATAATGACTAACACTTTTTATGACTAAGAATCTTTGTGACCGGAGTTCATACATCACAAAAACTTCGACCCACTCAAGAGAGTCAAACTTGGTGAGACGTTAGAAATTGCTTCACATTCGTGGAGAGATAAATTTTCTCACCTTACCTTGTCAACGAAAATAGCCTTACAGTCTTAAATACCTTGCAGAAGTATAACGGCATCTGGTCCATAATAATCATGCGACGCGTACTACTTTGAAACTTCCGTTTCACATGAAAAGTTATAATTCAGTACGAACCGTGCTTCCATTCGGTTCAGTGAGAATCGAATCCTCCCGCAAGAATCTTCTAGGAGAGTTCAAAAAACGCATCCTTTCAAACACTCTACCCAAATGCTCTTTTTGGGAGCATCTACGGTCAACACAATCAGTTCTGTAAGAACCAAGCACCATTTTCAATGGGCATCTACCTGGGGGGGGGGGGGGGGG